TAAATTGTTTTTCTTTGCTCTGTTTTACATGAGGGTTTTTTAATTGTTGTTATTGCATGTTTAAACTTTCCTTGATACGACTTTGAGATCTGCCAAACTTTGTAGGTCTCTAGGTTCTCTCACAACAGAAATAATTCCTGGGGTTCTGTATGGTTTCATAAAAATTTCAATGAAATCATAGGAACTTTAAAGTGTTTCCTCTCTTCTGAGCCACCTGCAGATGTTTTCTTTAGAAATAAAAAGCAGTTTCTGTAAAATACGAATTTGACAGGAATTCTGGGGCCCAGAACACTAAATTGGGAGAAGGTTTGTCCTGGGAGAATGAAGCTTGTGCTGGAGAACATTGTGTATGTAGTGTCCCAGGACCGTGACTCGGAAAGAGCCCTGCCTGGAATCTCAAGGAACAGTGCCTCTTTAGTGAGATATATGGCTTCATAATTAGCCCCTTGCATTTTTTCATGAGTGCTAGCATCAGCGTTCTATGATGTGTTTCCCTGATTAACAGCTGCTTTGCAACTATTTCCGTGTGCCACCGATAACCATAGTTGTCAAGCTGGTCCTGGCAGAGCACTGATTTCTTACCAAAATGCAGCGTTTCTGTTTGAAGGGGTTTTCTTGTTCATTGCAGTGCCAGGCTTTTAAGTCAGCCCTTGTTAAAGCGTAAGTTGGCTTTAGCCTGCTGCTTGTTAACAGGATTCTGGGTATCTCCTTTAGAGTAGGAGTGCAGAAACCTTTCACAGGCAATTTAATCTTCTGAGCCTTGCAAACATACAGCCGTACGCTGAGGGGGTGTTGCTGTAGGCTAATGTATTGATCAGTTCCGTTTGCCCTATAGCTGTGGCCTTCTGCTCTGGCTGAAATACGTTGAGTGTTTGTTGATACTGCCATATTATTATTTTTTAATACACTGGAAAAAAATTAATTCCAACTTCTTTTACATACGTCATGTATATTGCCAGTGTTGATTGCTTCCGCACATGTAATGTAAACTGTCTGTGCATAGTTCATGGCCTGTGCCGCCTCTGCTTAATGAAAAGAAGTGTTGCATTTAAACAGATACAGATCCACTCAGAAAGACAAAATACCATCCCTTGCAACGTATAATTCAGACCCAACCTTTACATCACAGGTCATCTCAAAGTCTCAGTCCATCAACAAATGCTGTTTAGTAATAACCTACAGAGGGTTCCCAGTATGCGGAAATCTATTAGAGCTCTCACGGGCTGTGCTGCTGGGGGCTTTTGATTCTCTTTTCCACGTGGGACTCTGTTACCAAATCCTGTGGAACTTTTATTGATGAAGGTGATTTTCTTTTACATTTTTGTTAATTCATTGGGGGGGTTGGTGGTTTTTTTTTTTGAGGTGGTAGAAAGTGGGCATTTGCAGCAGTATTTTAAATTTCATGGTTTATTTTTCTAATGCTAGTAACTGATAAAGTAGCTTAGATTGCTTCATTGGAAACCCGGCATCTTTGAGCATAGTGAGAAATAAGGCTGGCTTTACATTCCCCATTAACACAAAAGGGAGGGAGATTAGGAATGAAGGACCTTGGCTATAACGTCCATGTGCTGTGCTTTGGCCCAGAATTTTGCCAGCCTGCTGCACTCCCACAACACCTGCAATAAAGTTCCTGTCTCCATTTTATATCTTTGACATTGAAGCAGAATATTTGGACTGAATTTATGTAATTTGGCCAGACACAAATATAATCCGTGAATAGTTACATTCATCTTCTAATTAGAAAATCAAACTGTAGGACAAGACTTGCTGCAGGATTCCACCCACCACCAGCCAGTCAGAAATACGTCTTTGTGTGTCATATCACTGCAGGAGAAGTGGCGGTAGGATAGCAAGTTTATGGAATTGACTTGCTTTTAAAAGCCAAATACAGCGTCTTTCATGAAGAGAAATACGTACCTGATCCACTAGATAAAATTAGTTTGCTGGCCAGTGTGTGCTGGCAATCTAAGAATCAGAGCAGTGATACAGTGCACATTATTTGGCAGTGTCTTAATACTATAAAAAATGGGAGAAGTGTTACAAATGATACAGAAATAGTATGGAACAATGTTACCAGCTGAGTCAGAGTGCTATTTGCTGCATGATTTTTTTTTGGCTATACAGAGGACTGCAAAGTCTTCTCGTATTCCTCCTCCTTTTTTTGTTGTTTAAATTATGGACTGCAGTTGCCCTTGTTTGTGCAAAGAAAATGATCCGTAGAAGGCAGGAAAGTTCTTGTGTATGTTTGTTGAAAATATTGGCATTTTGACATGGCCAAAATTGCTTCATAAGTTGCTCATGTGTGTAAGATGAATTATAAAAATGAGGAAGTTTCAGCTCAGCCTATAGGAGGAATGTTCAGAGGTAAATGCAAACACAGATACGAGAAACATGGGATTATTGGGAGGAGGAATACACGTCCAGGATTGTTTTTCAAGAAGTTTGTTGTTGTTTCTAATTTTATTTTGTTTTAAGAGTAAAAACGTTGTGAATAATGGAGGAAGTGATGCAGAGGAGAGATAAAATAGAAGTTTATTTTGGAGTGAAATTTACTGCTGAAGTGTTTACATTTTTACAAGGCAAAAATAAGTTTTAATAAAGGGTTAGAATCAATAAAATGTTTACATGGTTGTGATTGAAATAGCAGAATGAAAAATACTGGTTATTTCTTACAGGTTTTTAGTGCTTAAAAACTGATAATTAAATATGAGAGCTTGCAGAATTTCAGGTCTGCAGGCCGTTTGTGTCTCTAGCCCACTAAATGTGGGAGGGAGTCTTGAGGAGTTTCTGAAGAAACAAACAAGTAATTATGGTTAGAGGGAAAGTGGTTTTGATATGTTCACATGTCTGTTGGTCTGCTCATTTGGGCATCTTTCTTATTCAGCATATTACCTTAAGGTTATTAGTTTGGGTGCTTTATATTTCTGCATCTGGCATAGCAACATCAGCACAGTTTAAATCTGTGATTTGCCTGTCACCTGCGTTTCAGCTGGAGACAGATCAAGTGCACATAAATGAAACCAAAGTGTACTTTATGTGGGGTATTTTGCTGTAGCTTTTTACGGTTCAAAATTACTGAATGTAAACTTAAGGAAAAAAATGAAGGAAAATAAGAAAAGGAAAATAATTAAAAATACCCCATTCGTTTTACCCTCCAACTTTGAAGTGTGCTGGGACTTTGTCAAATTCCCGTTAAAATAAATATGTCAATTCCATCTCTCTTCCAAATTCATTTATCATGCTTTTTTAAAAGGTGTTTTCTGCTTTACCTGATGTTTAAATTGGATTCGCTCGTTTATGCTGTTCTTTGCTGTATCCCCCATGTTTTTCTTAAATGAATTAGTAATGACAGCGTACTCCATCATACCCTCTCTACAGCCACTTTAAGGGAAGCCTGGTGATCTAAACCTTTTAACCTATTAAAGATGATTTTCCCCAATTGAATCAGACCCACCACAGGTGTAATAACTAATCATTTAAACTACACCTGCTATTATGTATTTTTAAGCCATTATGCATGTTGGATAGATGATAATTCATGTTTATTGCATTGTCCAATGGATCCGTTTTGCCTACACTAGCCTGATTAATGTATTTAAAGAAATAAGAGATGCAATTTAAAAGAAAAAAAACATTGATGGAATGCACTGAGGAGTACATTGAAAGTGCCATTAAACCCATCAGAACTTTGCTCTCTGACCAGAAATGCATATTCGAAGGGTTTGATTCAAACACAAAGTGAAACTTAGTGATTTCAGCAGTGATGCTATTTTTTTCCTTCTTTTTTTGCTGTGAAAAGTTCTGAAAACCATTTTGGGACTGAATTCCAGAAATTGTATGTTAGGACAAACTCTTCGAGACCTACTTAACATAGGTCTAGCATATACCACCATTTTAGGAGAAGGTTTATGCCACTGTTTGGGGGAAAAACCTCTTCCATGCATACGCATGGTGATTTTTAGTTCTAGAGGAAGGAAGTCATCTCTTCCACTAGTTTGTGTGGATGTGTCCATCTCCTAAGTGCTGTTAACCTCAGGCGAATTATTCCCCCTGACGCTACTATCAGAACAGATGTCTTTGTAGAAAAGTAAAGTGAATCAGCTGTTTTTCACTAGTGCAACAAAGTGTAGTGCTGTGTGTAATAGTGTAGGAGAGTATGTGGAAAGTTGACCTACCGTATGAAGAAAAAAATCAAATGCCTTTCACTGGCAGTAAATGGAAATGTAAAAAACAAGTGCCGTTGTCGATGCCATTGAGTATTATCCCATACTTCACCCTTTGTTTGAATAAGTGGTTTGTTGCAAGTGCTCTGTCACCTCAAAGAAGGATGTAGAAGTCAGTCTTTTGTCTAAAGTAAGCTGCGATTTGTGCTGGTGTGGCACATACATTTAGCCACTCACCTACCCGTTTATGTCATGAAAAGTGACTTTTTTTGATATTTTTGTTATGTGAGCCAAACCATGTGAAGTTGCTTCTTTTCCAGTCATGACAAGCTGAGGTTTATTTATTGCTTTCCATAAATTAGAAGGATGGCAGAAGAGGCCTTAATCTCTTAGAATTTGCAGGGAGCTTTGAGTCGAGTAGAAAGGAAGCAGTCTCACTGGCGAGCCTACTGTTACAGATCACATACACACTCTCAAGGTTGCCCTCAACTGTAGGAGCCAACTTAAGTGAGAAGATCACAGTAGAAATGACAGAAACCCCTAAGAATCTTAATGGAGTTTTTGTACAGATTGAGCTGCTCCAAGAGTAATTCAACAAGATACTTCTAGGTGTGAAATACCATAATTGTGCTGTCTGATTAGAGTTGGGCCACAAACTCTGATGCTTGTTGAACCATTTCTGGAAGTTGGATTACTGTCAGCTCCAGACCGTCCTGATGTGTTGGGTGCGATGCCTTACTTTGCAGTACAGAATGCATAATGTAAAATAGGAATTTGTCCGTTCCTAACTTGGATCTTTTCTCTCTTCTATTTCTCCAATCCTCCTACCCTCATCAGATTGCGACAGCAGTGAAGTTTTTACAGAATCCACGAGTCCGCCAAAGTCCTCTTGCAGCCAGAAGAGCATTTCTGAAGAAGAAAGGTATGGACTCTTAAGTTCATGGTCTCAATGAAAATGAGGGAGCTTGAGTTAGCGTAAAGCCAAAATGTATTGCTATGGAAAATCGGATGTTAAGGACAAAGGAAGTAGTCTGTTTCAAAAAAAGATGTGAAGTTTATAAAAAATACCAGTCTCTCTTCTTCTAAACTGGCTAGAGCAATATTGGCACCAGATGTGGAATTGTAGAATACAGAAGACATATTGTAAGTTTTTGGGTTAACTATTATCAGATCTTTTCTGAAGTGAGGACAGTTTAGCGTTGTGGACTAGTTGGTCAGTTCTAACTTCAGTGACATTGGCTTTAGAGTGACCAGCTTCTAGGTGAAAAGGTCGAATGTTTCTGAAGAAAGCCAGCGAGAGGAATGAAGGGCAAAGGACTTGGTGAAAGTAAAAAAGGTCAGGTTAAGGTCAAGCTTGGGGTCAGCCTGGCTTTCAGGCTGAAATGGTAAACTACTGACGGAGTTTAGTCCTTTTCTATAGCAGGGATAGAACAGATCCTGACAAATCCTATATCGTCTTAGACAGATGGAACATACTTTGACCATTGCCTACTGAGAATTTATTTTCCTTTCTGACTCATAGCAGAAATATGTTTTGTTCTTTTTTTTTCTTTCTAAAGTTTTTAGTCTGCAACTTATAGTGCATTTCAGGTGAAGTTCAGTCCATATTATGCTACCATCCTGGGACCATATTGCTTAGATCCTTACCGCAAGATGTAAATAATAAGGACAATCTTATCTTGGAGTTAATTACATGCACTATGGAGCACTTGAAGCAGTTGGAATGATACTGAAAACAGAAATTCCAAACTTCAGAGAGGAGTGACCCGCTTATAAATTGAAGTAAGAAATACTTCAGGATACATCAAATTCTGTAGCTAAAGATCTTGAGTTTTGAGAAGCAGGGAAGCCTGTGAAATAGATGTTACTCTGTTTGGGGTTGTGAACTGTTTATTGAGACGCCTGAGACCTGATGTCATGAGATGGAGAGTTCAAGTATGTGCACCACTTTGCTCATAGCAAAGGACCTAGAAGGGAATGGCAGTTTTGTGTTTTAGCAATGGTGTCATGACAAGTAGTTCATGTGTACATCATTTTGAGTGTGATCCTTTCACTGCTTGTCCCAGTGCCAGTTGGAGAGCATTCCAATCACATAGGTATGTTGCTTCCCCTGCCCTGCCATCAGGGTGGCATTAAAATTTGAAGCCTGTTGGCTGCTGTGCTCCATGAGTTTTTCCTTGAAATATGTGGACCTATGGGGAGTAATTAATCATAAAAGCTTGGGGATTTCAACTCTATCATCGAAGCAATGAAGCAAGGGAAAGCTGAGCCTAAAAGCTGTGCTGATTACCCGGGGTAACCTGATACAAAATCTATTGTTGCCGAGAGATCCTTAGCCCCCAGTATATCGTGCAATATTATAACTGCCTGATCTTCTTCTATGCTGACAATGACCAGTTATTCCTCATTTTCTCTCTCAACACAGCTGGGTTAGAATTTCATTTACAGAAGGTATTTAGAGCAATTTAGAGACAAATGTCTCTGGTGTTTGCTCTGCACTTCCCCACCGCAGGCTTTGCTGAACAGTTTTTAGTATCAGGAGCTCCATCTAATCTGTTTAATTTTAATAAATCCCTGACTGGGAGAAGAGGAAGGGTGGGGAGATGGAGGCACAGAGAAACTGTGGCCCGACTAATACTTCTTATGAATTACTTGGCTAATAATCACTAAAGAGCAGAAATGGTTTGGTAGAGCTGTTTGTTTGTTCCTGTTTGTTAATTACCCCTCCTTGCCTTTGTGCTAATTGTTTGTTTGAAAACAGTAGGAGATAGGAAGGAGCAGGGTCCAGCAGACCCTGTACCCAGCAGTCACTGGAAATATGTCCATATGGAATCTGACCACTGAGTTTACAACATGATCTCTGTTGAGTGGTCAAGAGTGGAACGTACGTGCTGTCATAGTACCTGTGTGCTCTAGCAGGTGGAGGCAACTGTTCTTGAAACGTAGATGTCGTGGCTACTTTAGTTCTGAGTAAATGAGGGATTACACAGTTTGGTAGGCTATTCCCCCTATTCTCTGATATACAGTCGTTGTCATCCCAATAATAATGTTTATTCCCAGTTTACAGATAGTTAGGCTGTCTGGTAGAGAAGTCGTCACTGCCAGCCGAAAAAGCATTTTCTGTTGAGAAACAGTTACAAGAGTCTCTTTTAAAATTATCTTTGTAGGAAGTAATGCAGAGATACCCTTATATTTTTCACAGTTACTCTGATCCATTTTTTTTCAAGCAGAAATTGCAGTTGAAGATCTTTTTATAGACCCCAGAAGAATTTCAGTGGAGGGGAATTTTCATATCTATAGATAGTTGTACACCACGCATGAACTTGTCTTTTGTAGTTACTTTTGTGGAATCCTACAGGAGAGGTCTGTGACTCCCTGCTAAGTCTGGGTAAAAACTCCTGCAGTGGAGAGGATGGTGCTGGATCAATGTGAAGGGAAAAGACCAGGTGCCCTGCCCCTGCAGGAGCCTTCCACTACCCCAGCTACAGCCTATGTAGGCTACAGGGATGGTGCTGGGGCATTAGCTGTGGGAGAGCTTCCAGGTCCTGCAATCCTGACTTTGCCTAAGAAATTTCACTTCTGAGACTTGCAGAAGTGGTTCTGCCTTGAATTATAATTTTTTTATAAGCGTCTCCTTCCTAAAAAAGACCAATCAAATTTTATTTCCTTTTAATATTATTTAGTATTTAATATATGAACTGGGTTTGTTTAACACATTTCAGTGCAGTGAGAAATGGAAGTTTCTTCAGAATCATCAGCTGGACTGGGTTTGGTTTCTCGTGAAACAGTAGTTGCAGAGGCTGAAAGTAGGCTTTCCTGGTTACATGCAGGTCAGGGGTTTGCTGAACTGCTCTCTCCAGACATGGGATGGTAATGCTGATGACATTTGGGAGACTGAGAGTGTCCTGCATTTGTAAAAGGTCTTTCAAAACTTGGATGAGATTTCTCTGTTGTCTTAAGCACTTTTAAACTCCCAGATACAGAGGCATTAATGAGAAACATGAAGTTATTAGAATCATTTATCATTTTCTTTGAAGCTTACACTGGCATTTTCTGTAATTTATGACATTTCCTCCTTTTTATCATGAACTTCTTCAGATGAAGGGAAAAACAGCTGTTTCCCCTCAGAGTATCTGAAAGAAAAGAAAGGAAAAAAAGATGCTGTTTGTTTTTTGTCCAACTCGCTGATTCTGCTGATGACATGCCACAGAATCAGCGGCGCCTTGGGAGTAATTAGACAGCATGTGGGGTTTAAACCCTTGTGGAAATGTGTCTGTCATCTAACTGTTGTGCCTCAGATGTCCTGTACTGCTCAGTTACCCATCCAGTAACTCATGTGGCTTGTTAATTTTGTGTACTCTGAATCTGTAACTTCTGGCGAGATGGAGAAAGGGGGTGGAAGTGCACTGTGGATGTGGAGCTCTATTTTTCAGGGTGCTAGTCTTTTGGGGCAGGGAAAAACTGCTAGGTTACAGATTTATTGTGTATTCCTGGATGAAGAACTTTTTTCTTAGTTGCTTGTTCTCTTCATCTGTAAAATGAATACAGTAATGCCTTCCCAGGCTGGGGCTGTGGGAACAGAGAAAAGCATATGAGGAGCTAAGAAATTATAGTGATGGGACAACAGAAGTGCGTTAGGGCAAGTAAATGTATAATTGTTCAGTTATATTGGGAAAATGTCCACCCAGAAGGTTGGACAGTGTTCAGAAGATATGCTACCTGGATTGGTCTTTTGTGTATATATAGGTGATGTAATGGGCTATGTGCTTCCAAAAGCAGTCACACTCTTGCTTGGTGAGGTGAAGTGGAGGTTGTTGGAAGTGTTGCCCTTTTACATGTTGTATCTACTAATCTGTTCATTGTTTTGCCTGGTAGGAAGTGAGTTACTACACAAGGTTTTCCTGTAGGTCTTGCATGTCTTTTTACAGTGCGTCAGGGTTCCAGAAAATTTTGCCAGTGCCAAGATGCCAGGCCATGGTGATTTCTGAAGGGATGAATAAATTATTTAGTTGTACGTGTCCCTTCCCAGTCAGAGCTCAAAGACACTTGATTCCCTGGAAACAAATGCTGTCAGCCCCAGGATCTCCGGTAGAAAACTGACTTAATTTTCTTCCTCTTTCTGTAATCAGCATTCTTGGAAGTTGAACCCCTGTCTTTCCTTCTTTGCCAAAGAAACCCAAGTGGATCACCTTGAGGACCTGTGAGAAGGGGGCACAGCCCACTGTTGGAGGGCTTTAAAGGAAGTAAATTCTTCAGAAGATTTCAATTTAACCCTCTTTTATTACTTTTCTTTTTTGTAATTTAAGTCCATTTCATGAGGCAGTTTGCATGTCCTTGAATGGAATCTCGTTACCATGAAAGCTTTTTTAGCATTGATTTCATAACAGTCTTAATTTAATAGCGCCGTCATTACAGAGAGGCCCTGAGAGTGAGGGCCTAGCTTTCCAGGTCACTGACCTTTTAATTACAAACCTTGTTCTGATGGTCAGGTTATCGACTGGACAGCTCCCAACTCCTGCCCCCAGCACGAAGATGAAAATAACTGCCTTTCCTCCCCCACTTCCAGAAAAGGGAGGAAAAAAAAAAGTAACCTCTTGTGTTTCCAAAATTAATTTTCTCCTTCAGCTTTACTTTGTAATTAATTCTTTTAACATGTCTCAGTGAAGCTTGAACAGTTTTTGCAAAGCTTTTCCTTGAGAAGAAAATACAATGCAAGCCAATAGAGTCCAGTGATAACTGATACAAAAAAAATGTAGTTAGTAGCCTGTGCTGTCAAAATGCTTCTTTGGGCCAAACCGCTATGGCCCTCCAAACCTCATGCTTTTCTAGAAATACCATATTTGATACAAGAATGTGTGATTAGGCCGTAAGTGTAGATTATTCAAGGAATGCTAGATGACTTGTCCTTCTCTTCAAACGTGC